GGCTCCAAAAGGCTCTGTCTAGCCTTCACTGCATGCCTCGCTCCTTCCTTGGGCAAAGAAGAGTGCAGAGGCCTCACTGGAAGCGGTTTATGACAGGCAGGAATATTACCGAGGCACTTAAGAGGTTATTAACACCTTTTATGAACCTCATTGTTTAAAAGCCTGCCACACTTAATCATCTTAGCACCATTAAATCAGTATTAACAACAGCCCCAAGACTTGCACTCTGAAATGTCACCATTTGGTAACACTCTTAAAGTGCAGTGTTTTGGAAAAATCTGCGGGACAGGTGAGTTTCCTGTTCTCCTGCAACTGCGTGTGTGCAGCTTGGGAGGCCCCAGATGGACAGGGGAGCCAGTCCTACCACCCTCACCCATCTGAAGAGCAGTTCCTGCCCAAGTCCTCCCAGAATCACACAGGAGCCCCAGGCATCAGGACAGCTCCAAGGAGGTGGTAGAGGGGCAGAGTTCAAATCCCAGCTCTGCTACTTGAGAGCGGTGTGACCTTGGGTGAGTAAGGAACCTTACCTGTGCACATCTTAGTTTTCTCACCTCTAAGGAAGGCATCTGTTTTGTAAAATAAACTACAACACTCCTGCATTCAGCATAGGATCCAGCACTCAGTGCTTAACATGTGATGATGTATTTTACCTCCTGAGATTCCAGCGCTTGGAGGTTAGTAGCAGGTTGGGGTGTATCCTTTCAAATGTTTGTGTATCTGTTAAATTTGTTGGTGTGCATGTTTTTGTGTTCTGCGATTTCATTTCTCTTTCATTGTTCTTTATAAAACTGAGGGCCAGGGATTGAGCTCAGTGGTGCCCCTGCCTGCTTCACAAGTGCAAGATCCGAGTTCCAATCACCAGTACCAAAAAACCCCAAAAACAAAACAAAAGAAAAAAACTGAACTCAATTGTGTTCTGCGATTTCATTTCTCTTTCATTGTTCTTTATAAAACTGAGAGCCAGGGATTGAGCTCAGTGGTGCCCCTGCCTGCTTCACAAGTGCAAAATCCGAGTTCCAATCACCAGTACCAAAAAACCCCAAAAACAAAACAAAAGAAAAAAACTGAACTCACCCCTGCCTGCTGTTGAGTGACCCGTGTCCTGTTCTGGTATTTTCCCATGCCTCAGGAGGTCACAGGGGTCTCTCCATTGAGTAGTTATTGGTATAACTCAGGGATCCGCAAAATTTTTCTGCATAGCATCAAAAAGTAAATATTTTAGCTGCTGCAAGCCACGATGTCTCTATCACAACTAGTCATCACTGTGTAACTTGAAAACAGCAGTAGACAGTATGTAAATTAAGGGGTGTGGCTAAGTGCCAATAAAACTTTATTGCCACAAAGGAGGGCCAGGGCCCCTGCCCTTGCAGTAGTCTCTAGCATCCTCAGTGCCCTTGTGCTGTTACTTATCAGTCCCCATGGGTGGACATTTGGGTTTTTCCCTAAGTGTGACTTTCCAAGCCTGCTTGTACATCCCTTCCACAGGCTGCTGGTACTTGTACCCATGAGACACTTTCCTTCCACCAGGACTGCTAGGTGACGGGTGCAGCACCCCTGGGCATTGTGACATTGGGTTTAAGTGAAGGTTGAAAGGGACAGCAAAGGATCAGTGGCTCTTACTCCGTCACTTGCTGGACAAAGACGGGCCAGTCTAGAAATGTGGCCCTTCCGAGGTCACTTCCAGAGGTGGGAGGGATGAGGAAATGAGTCCAGTGGTCAGTCTTGGTGGTCAGCCTGAGTGACTAATAGACTCCCAGAGGGGTGATCGGAGAGTGAGGGCACAGACTTCATCAGAGACTTACTGACTCGCTGACTGGGCCACCAGGAGGCAGAGTCCCGGTGAAGGGAGTGGACCGGGGTGTGGCCTTGAGAGCTCTATATGACCAGCCCCTTCCTCTCCAGGTCTTTCCTGCTCTCTGCTTCCTAGATGACAGCAATTGAGCAGATTTCCTTTGCCAGGCCTTCCACTGTGTTGTTTCTGCCTTGGAACCAGTGCTCCGTGGAAACCTCTAAAGCCAAAATCATCGTCTCCTCCTTAAAGTTGTGTATGTCAGCCGTTTTGGCCACGGTGACAAGAAACTAATACAGGGGCCACATTTGGTGAATGGACAGACTCCTTGGTCTGACAGGCACGGCCCTGTCTCCTGACTTCTCCCTCAGATACCTACAGCCAACCGAGGACAGCCACACACGGGCTGGCCTCCTGTGTGTCACTGAGAAAGGGACAGAGGTACGGAGGCTGTCAGAGCCACCCGTAAGCACACTGCCATCTCCACAGGATCCTTTGTAACTCTTCCACTGGCTGCTGTGTGCAACTCAGGCCTTGGGCTCCTCTGGAGCATCCAGAAGGCCAGAAGCATGGCTCTCTCCCACACTAAGGGCCTGGATACGGCCACCCAAGAACCTGCCCTAGGCACGGGGTGAGCTGCTTACCTCTTTGTGACCCAAAGCTGCCATCTCCACCCTCCAACCGCTCCAGAACGGGCTTTCTTCCAGTTCTCAGACTTGCCTGGCCACGGTTTCTCCTACCCCAGGGCCTTTGTGCAATCCAGGATGTTCCCTGTACCTCAGCTGAGATCCCAAGATGACTCCTTCTCTGCTGGCCTTTCTGGTCTCAGCCCAGTGGTCTTGTTCTCAGGGAGACCACTCCTGATCCTCAAACTCAAAGCAAGTCTCCTCCTCTCCTCCCCTTTTCCTGGAGCCTTTTCTGTCTGTCCCAGCAGGCCCATGAGCATGTGGCCTATCTCTACCCCAACACATGCACCCAAACACTCATCAGCTCAGCCCCTGTGAGGAAGCAGAGCCTGGATTGGAACCTGGGTCCCCCAATCCCAGCCGTTTTTCCATCTCCCTCTGGTCCCCAGCACGACGGCAGAAATGAAGTCTAGACTCACAACTGCATCTGAGTTCTAGCTTCCAGCTCCGTGCCTCCCAGCCTCGACACTGACCTCTCCATGTTCCATCCTCTTCATCCGGAACTATAAGGAGATGGTTGGTAAACACTTCAGAGGAAGCTGGGAGAACAAGCCAGGCGTGGAGGTGTGCAACTGTAATCCCAGCTCTCTGAGAGGCCGAGGCAGGAGGATGGCAAGTTGAGCCTTCCTGAGCAACTTAATGACTTAGTCTCAGAATGAAAAATAAAAGAGGGCTGGGATGTACTTCAGTGCGACAGCCTGAGTCCAATCCCCAGGACGAGGGGAGAGCGGGTTCAGAGCAAGGTCTCGAGCTGGACGAACAAATTAGCCATCACCGTGTCACTGTGCTTCTCTACTTTCCAGTAGGTGCCAAGGTTGCCAAAGCTTCTTGCCGACAGGGAGTCCAGCCCGGACCTTTGGTGTCTGAGAGAGGAGCTGAGGCTGATCCCGGAGGTCCCAGCACCTTCCAACTCAGGGACATCTTCCTGCATGTCCAGAAGCCCATTCGGGACACTTTCCTGCTGTGGGGTGAAGAGACTGGGCCACCACAAGAGGTCAGAGAATGTGTCCCAGGCAGATCCCCGTGTGCCCTGAACTCAGGAAGCCACCATTGGAATCCTCATGACCACAGCACACAGGACCCACATCCACCCTTCCACACAGCAATGCCACCTGTAGCAACTTTTCCCAACTCACTTCCGCCAAGAACAGGGCACGAGGATGTTCTCTGCAGTGCTGTTTACCCCATGAAGGCAAACCTGTGTGTCCAACCTCAGGGGACCACTCCAAGCCATGTGCTGCTTCCAAGCACTGGGCTCTACCGCCACGAGAGATGACAGCAAGCCTATTCCGCTAGCACAGAAAGCTGTGGTAGTTAGGTGGGGAAAAAGCAACCCGCTAACAGCATTCCTGGTGTGATTCTATTTTTGCCTCAATATATATTTAAATATACACACACACATATATAAACCCATGTGTGCAAATACGCATAGAAATGAGACAGGAAGAAATTTAAAAGTAGCGTTGCTGGGCAGTAAGATTCTGGATCTTTTCCACTTTCTTTCTCCTTATAATTTTTTGTTTTCTCTATTTTTTGCCATGAGCATGTACTGCTTTTATAATTGGGGGCGGGTGAAGATGGAAAAAAACAATTCAGCTATTTTAACTTTTAAAAATGTGCAACTTGCTTTCTGTCCTTCGGGACAAATCCCGGGGCCCCCCTCAGGTCCACGGAGTGAACTTAAAGCTCGTTCTACCTGTGTCGCTGCACGATGCTCGGTCCACGGGTGGAGGAACCCTCACTTGCCCTTGCCTTGTGACGGACAGAGAAGTGGGGGGTGGCTCCCCGCTCCCTCCAGGCAAGGGGCGCCTGGGGTGGGGGAGGGGAGGGAAGCAGGGAGCCAGCAGATGGGAGGGTGGGCGGCGTAGGCCTGGGGGAGGCGCTGAATGTGCTCAGCAGGGCTCACGGCAGGCGCGGTGGTTTCTCTGGGGCTGCTGCTCTCCGCAGCGGTTTAACAGCTCGTGGCCATGCCAAGGCCGCTGGGCCTGGAAACCACTTGGTCACTGCGCTCCCCTCCCGTTACCACTGCCCTTTCCCGGGTGTGCATTAAAGACACTCTGTGCATTACTTATGCCCGAGATACATCAGCTGCAACCCACAAGCGGCTTTTATGGCTCGGCTCCATGGGTCAGGTTCAGGATGGCTTCGCTGGGGGTCCTCGCTCAGAGTGACTCCTGAGGCTACGGCCGGGTGGCAGCCAGGACTACAGCACAGAAGGCTGGGCGGGGGGCTGCCTCCAAGACGTCCCACCTGCGAAGGCCTCTGTCTCTTGTCCCTCGATCCCATTTCGGAGCTGCTGGAGAAGACTGAGAGAAGGCCACCTAGAGGGAGCTGGGTTGAAGCCCCAGGAATTTTTATAACTCAAAACCCAGCGGGGCCACACCATCACTTTGAGTGAATTTTGTCAGAATTGAACCACTGCTGAGTGTAGCAGCTCATGACTGTAATGCTAGCTGCTCAGGAGGCTGAGGCAGGAGGATCACAAGGTCAGCCTGGGCAATTCAGCAGGATCCTGTTCTAAAAAGAAAAAGAAAAGAGCCACTGAGCCCAGCCCACAGCCCGGGGGTGGTGATGGGAGCTAAATGAGCACTGCCCCTCTGAGGGAGGCACATCCAAGAACTTATGGGTTTATTTCACAACCACCCTGCTGGAGAATCCTAATCCAACGCAGTGCCATGGCTCTACTCTAAACTCCTACAGACCTGCAGCTTTGGCAGCATCGGGGAGCTTGTCAGAAACGCAGATTTGGGGGCCCACGCCACCCTGCTGAGTCAGGATGGGAACCCACTCGAGGTGCCCGGGTGCTCACAGAAATGTGAGAGAGGCAATTCAGGGTGGCGTGGAGGACCCGGGAGGGGCTGGGGCCGCCCACACAGCCGGCCCCACAGGTGAGGTCTGGGACCCCCACGAGGCATCGCCCGGGGAGTGCCACGTACACACGCGGGAAGAGCTTGGCAAACAGTTAACTTTCCCTGCCTACCTTCCCCAGAACCAAAAATAAAACCAAGTTTGAAGCATGTTTATCTCTGCTGTTAAGAAAACTCACACAGCAAATCCCAGGCCAGAGTTTCCACTCACAGAGGCCAACTGCTTGGGCCAGGAAAGCGCTGCCTAGGTCTGATACCAGCAGCTCGCCAACGCCATGACCTCAGGGAGCCCCCACAATGTGCGGAGCACAAGGCTTGGGGCTCTGTGTTTATTGCTCTCCTCCTAAGCTGAGCACCCTGCCTGAAGAGTCACACAGAATCCACAAACCACCCTGAGAGGGGTCCTGCCAACCCCGTCTTGTGGGAAACGCAGACTCAGACAGGACAGCGACCGAACTGTGGCTCATCTCCCCGGCCCCCTTTAGGGCCCTGAAGCGGGGTTAGCAGACCTCTGGTCTGCTCAAAAGAAAAGGAAGCGATCTTCCTGCTGCGGGTGGGCACGCTGAAATGGCGAGAAGCTCCACTCTGCCGGACACACAGAGGCCCTCCCTCCTGGCGTCCTTGCCCTCTCCCTGGTTTCCAGGCAACCCTGACCCTGATGCTCGGCCACGGAATGTGGCAGTGTTGCGGAAGGCCACTCCCGGGACCACCACTTGTGGTGAGACCCCATCTGCCAGCACTCTGGCTCTGAGTCTTTCTCTCCTTAGTGACCTTGAAAAAGCAAACCGCTGTCATTCTCCGACCACAAGGGAACAAATCCTGCCAACAGCCCGAGGGAGAGTGGAGGTTG